CAATTATTCTTAAATGTAGGCCCAGCTGGTTCCCAATCTTAAACCAGCAAGAGTTTTGCTAATAACAGTAGCAATAGCAGAAAAATAAATACCTTCATTCAGCACAATCATTACTTACTTGCATCCACCCCACTGGCATAATTTAACATGCACTCTTTATCCTATCTGCTCTCCTCATGCCTCCCAACAAGTGTATCCAGGACGTAAGACACTAGGGGATATTTTAAATAACTGCACTGTTGCCGCATGGCAGAAGATTTGCTGAGTAATGCTGGGAGCATTGAATTAAAAACAAACTCATGAAAATCTGCAGAGGTCTCATTTAATTAGATTTACTCACAGGTTGAATATAAACTTGTATGCCAAATTAAGGAATAGCATCAGCCATACCAGTACGGGAAGCAGTGACTGATGTCTAAAGAGAAGATCTCAGAGCAGGTATGTAGATTTAATTTTTATAAAGTGAATAAAAAATAAAGTTACAGTAGTATAGTTTTCAAGGAAAGGAGGAAAAAAAGGACTGTAATATAAGTGTAAATGAATTAAAATGTGAAATCTGAATGTCTCCAGGCTGTTAATTCAGAAGACATTCTATACTTGCAATTGCTAGGAATTAAATGGAAAACAAGTTGTGACATTCCGTCAAAACTCACCTGCAAGTGCAGAATATTTATCAAATAACCTCAGCTCATCCTTTCTGTTTCTGTTGTATGTTATACCATGAAAAATGTAAGATTGAGGTTATTTTTTTCAGAGTAGTTAAAAAGAAACTGTTCAATAGATCCCAGATAAAAAACATATTTTGCAACTCTAGCAAGGGTATTTATTATACTTAGTATATTTAGGAATTTAGAGTAACGTTTTCAAAAGCATCCAAAATTTTTCACTTGCCAGCCTTTGAATTCTTTTGAAACGTTTTCCTTTAGTTTAACTAAAATGTGCAGAACAGGATTTCTCAGCCATCGTTTGTCCTTGAGTAACAATTCCATGAAAGTGTCATTTAGAAAACAGCCCTATACTGTGTTCTTCCTACTGTGCTCAATTTTAACCTTTCAGCTCCCTCTGACTGTGAGCAACACGGGAAGCTCTTGCAGAGCCTTCCCCCACAAGCTATGGATTAGGAACTGTCGCTGCTGAATGGCTTCAAGAGCCATAGCCACGTCAGGTCATGTCTAGATTCATTATACTATATGCATATATATATATACACCTTATATTTGCTTACCTGCAAACAATGTCTATATTACAATGTAATTCTTAAAGATACTAATGCACTTCTTAAAAAACGTCTTGAACTGCCTATCAGTCCTTTTTTTTAATGTTTTGCAGTAGAACATTATATCTTTTGTTGTTTAATTTTTGACGGAATACTGTTATAGAAACTCGTACGAGCTGTGCAAGGTCTTCAGAAGTATTGTCATTTCTGGAAACCAAGACTTCTTGTAACCTAAATCACTGAAGATCTTCTGATTGTTTAAACAACAAACATATTTTCTGAGAAAAACAATTATACTTTATTTCCCAATTGGAAGGTGGGGGAAGGATGTTTTAGAAGTTTCCCTCAGAGAGGAGACATTTGGTGGCCGTTTCTCATGAGATGTTAGTAGAAGAATTGGCTCTTCTTATGCAAGCTGTGACTCACTCTTTACTTAAGATTTTACCGGTACAATTGCTAAGGTAAAAGTATGACATCTTACCAAATTTAATGACATGACTTCTGTTAAAAGTGTGTGTGCTGCTTTACTTATTGCAGCAACCTTTAAAAAAACAGAGCTTTCTAGCACAGGCCAGGTCTCATCCCTGTCTTCAGCAACTGCCACTAAAATAACAGCTTTTCACCATGCAGCCCTTAAGAAGGATCTGACTGACCCAGGAAACATATCCTATGATGCTTTTCCTTATGCTAGCTTTGCGTTTCATAAGCTGTATTTTATTTTTCTACCTCATCCCTGACTGATGAGGAATGACAATAATCCTCCTTTTTAGAAAGGAAAAGAGAATGGGCTACCCCAGTCAAGTCTCCTGAAATCTCCCTCACTTGATGTACAAAGTAAGTACTCAACTCGTTTTTAAGGTACTGAGCTTCACAAAGCACTTGCACAATCATCCCAGGCCCCAGTGAGCTCTGTTGCCATCAGGGGATTACAAACTCTGCAAGCAAGAACCCAAGTCCCTTAGTCTGGCTCCCAGGAGACAAAGTATCAGGCATTTAAATGACCAAAAAGTAATTTGCCTGCTACAAGGCAACAGGCAGAACTAGCACTGACTTTTCCAAGGAAGAACTCATACTCTTTGCAACATACTCTACTGGTAATGCTGCCTAAATCAATATGACCCTTACAACAGAGGCAAGGAACCCATAAACAGCAGTCTCCTTTACAGATACTGCAAACATGAATCATCCCAATGTTAGGCACAAGCCTACGCACAGGGAAAAAGCCATCACAACCATGGCATATTCTAATTTTTAAATGTGCAGCATTACAACCTTAAGAATCCAAAAATAATTTTCTATGCCAACAATAAAAATAAAAACGAATATATCAGCATGTGGCACCACAACCAGACTTTTGGCAGAATTTTGGAGTGAAGCATTTGATTGTAGGACCCTCATGGAGTCGTGCATAAAAACCCATGCGCCTCTCTCCAACCGGACTTATACAGTACCCTTCAGTGTACAGGCACCAATGGCATTTTTAAAAGAGATGCAAGAGCTTTGCATGTAGCTTTTTGTGTGTTTTTGGATTGCCTCCTAAACTTTTCTTGTCTACTTTGTTATGTTCTGAATCAAATCATGGATATGAACCCTTGAATTGGCCTCATCATGGCCTCAAGTTACTCTTCTAAAATAACCCTGAAACGTTTTCTGCAAGATTTGTCTCTAACCGTCTGACCAGCAAAATCCTATTGAAACTACATAAAGGGAAACTTTGCGCTCCTTACTTTTATTAGCCAGAAATATAATAATCAGAGAAGTGCAACTTGAAAGCACCTCTAGAAAGGTTTAGATGGCTGCTTAACTTTCTTCTAATTGTTTAATAATCTGTATGTTCTGCTCTGTTCTGATTTTAGGAGTTTATGGCTGCAATTTGGAAAAGGCCAAGAAAGAGGTCAGAACCTTCGTATAAACATGGCATTAACAACTGGTGAGATATCTCCTGACCCTATCTCCTCTCCAGAAGATTACTATCAAAGCCTCATTTTTTGCAGATTTGAGGGTCCACTTTTGCATAAGTGGACCCTTATGAACATGTTTTTCAGATCCTCAACAAAATATTAGAAACAAGACTGAGAAGTTATATCCACACAGTCCTCTGCTTGGAGATACTATACAACACATGGTAGAGATGGTTAATTTTTTTTCAGAGTCTTTTTCATCAGTCTATTAAAGTGGGTGACAAGATCTATATCAGCGGTAAAAAGACTATAAGGAAATGAAGATATTTGTGCCCAAAAAAGTCAAATTCATCTATTATGTTAAAGATAATGTAACTGAGCCATTTGCTGCTCTGTGTCAATAATCGGAAATTATTTTATGTTTTGGTATGTGGGGTTCATGTAGTTGTATAGAGAATCCTATGTATCCTGTTTTCAATAGCCACAATAGCAACAGCAAAATCATGTTTCTATCCTGTTCACCATGGCACCTACTGTTTACATTTCACAAGACAAAGTGAAATGATAAAATGTTATTTCTAATTCTTTTGGGGGGAAATCAAATCTGTCTCAAATCATGCTAATGTAAATTACTGTGGCAAATGTGACATCTCTGTCTGAGAGCATGTTAATGTAATTTACTGTAGTGAATATCGCATCTCCATCTGCTAAACCAATCTGTTAAAATTCACTACATTATTATCTTCAAGAGGCAGCGGTTTTTAATCTTTAGGTTGTTGTTCTTTAAATTCCTTCTGATGAAAATAGCATCTAGCATGTGACGCTGACTGGCAACATTTGATTAAATTAAAAATGGAGTATGTTAATTCCTAGTTGGTAAATATACTCTTTCCAGCTCT